TTTTTTTTCCTGGCAAACTGCTGTTCCCTCCACATTTGTGTTGATTTTTACCTAATGTGTTTCCTTAACTAAGTAGCTAAAAGAAATCTTCCTTGAAGTTTGTCAACTTTCAGTGCTTTCACTGTATAATGTTATTCTCACTAGCAGTTAGCTTGATTCAGCTGTGACAGCCTCCAAAACGAGTATGGATGTGTGTGTGTGTGTATCTGTATGTATATTCTATATGTGAATGTGGGAATATATGTATATATAGTAAATTAAAACAGAGCCTAATTTCTCAAACCATGTTTTTCTGTGTGTATGTGTAATGGCTGACTCTATGTGTGTGTGTGTGTGTATGAATACATATATTTATATTTATTTTAATTTAATGAAAACCCAGAATATATTATAGAGAAACAGATGGACAAATAGAAATAACAGAATAACAGAATAGCAGAGTTAGAAGGGACCTTGGAGGTCTTCTAGTCCAATCCCCTGCTCAGGCAGGAAACTGTATATAAAGGATTTCAACTAGTGGTATGCGTACCACCAATGGTACTTTAACACCTGGCAGGTGGTATGCGACCCATAGTCAAGTGTAGCAGGGGAGGGAACCAGCTAAAGCAGCGCTGCACAGACCTGGAGGAGATCAGCTGGAGCTGCAAAGCTTGGCAGAAGCCCCAGGATCGGCGCACATGGCGACATGGTAATTGGAGCTTCCGGAGCACCCAGAAGAGAAAAGGAAGAGGACGGAGAGAAGAGAAGTATAAAAGGGGCAGGTTTTGGTGGGAGAGGGAGAGAAAAAGTGAGAAGAGAAGAGGCTTTTCTTACCAAAGCAGTGATGAGAGACAGAGCGAGTGGCCTATTTTCGGAGGAAGGGTGAGTGAGCGAATGGCCTGTTTAGCAAGTAGACTGTTTTGGGGGGAAGGGCATCACGAATGAGCGGCCTGTTTAGTAAGCAGCGTGTTTTCGGGTGAAGGGTGAATGAGTGAGCGGCCTGTTTAGTGAGTGGCATGTTTTAGGGGGAAAGATGCATGAGCGAACAATGGTTTAGCGAATGGCCTGTTTTTGGGGGAAGGGCGCAAGAGCAAGCAGCATGTTTAGCGAGCAGCGTATTTTCAGGGGAAGGCCATATGAGTGAGCGACGTGTTTAGTGAACAGCGTGTTTTCGGGGGAAGGGCAGGTGAACAATCGGCCTGTTTTTAGGGGAAGGGTGAGTGAGTCAGCTGGGCAGGAGCCCCAGGATCGGCGTGTGCTTCTGCAGGGCTATGGGGGCTCAGCAGGAGCCCAGGATTAGTGCATGCATCTGCAGCTGATCAGTGCTTCTGCTGAGTCCCCCAGAAGCACTGATCAGCTGGAGCCCGGCCCTGATCCTTGCGCTTCTGCTGAGCTGCCCAGAAGCACTGATCAGCTGGACCCCAGTACTGATTCTGGTGCTTCTGTTGAGCCCCAAAGAAGTGTCAATCAGCTGGACCCTGGCGCTGATCCTGGTGCTTCTGCTGAGCCCTGACAGCCCTGCAGAAGCGTTGATTAGCTGTCAGGGCTCGGCAGAAGCGCCAAGATCAGTGCCTGAAGGAAGGAAGGAAGGAAGGAAGGAAGGAAGGAAGGAAGGAAGGAAGGAAGGAGAGAAGGAAGGAGATGGGAATGCAAAGGAGGGAAAGAAGGAGGGCAGGAAAGAAGGAAGGGAGGAAAGATGAGAATGAGAAGGAGGGAAAGAAGGAGGGAAGGAAGGGAGGAAGGAAGGAAATGGGAATGAGAAGGAGGGAAGCAGGGAGGCAGGGGAAAAGGAAGGAACACCCCCCCCCCACGGTAACCACAATGCTAATGCAGCCCTCAATGAAATTGAGTTTGACACCCCTGATATAAAAGGTTGTTAAGTGAATCTGGTTTTCCCATTGACTTTGCTTGTCAAACGATTACAAAAGGGGATCACATGACCTTGAGATACTGCAGCCATCATAAATATGACTCAGTTGCAAACCATCTGAATGTAAATCATATGACCCTGGGAATGCTGAAATGGTCATAAGTGTAAAAAAGATCATCAGTCACTTTTTTTCAGTGCCGTTGTAACTTCAAACAGTCACTAAGCAAACTGTTGTAAGTCGAGGACTACCTGTAGTTTATCACTTTTTTCTGTTTTTTTTTTTTGTCATCAAGTTTTTGGTAGGCGACTGGTGGTACTCGGATAGTGCCATATTCTAAAAGGGGTACAATGGGTAAAAAAGTTGAAAAGCCCCGCAGCGCATTAGATATTGGAATACTGCTATCATGTCACCCCCCCTAGTCCTTCTTTTCATAAACGAAACATACCCAATTCTCATATCCATAGCCATGAAAGAAGATGACCTAATTTTAATTTTTTTAAATATTTCAACATATCTGTCATATTTGTGATGGCTATTTATTATTTATAGAGTTCTCATACACTATAGTGTAATCTTATAGTGAAATCAAAGCCCACTTTGCATAATCTTTCTCAGTACAGATTTGGAAAGTTGCCTGAGCTGAACAGTTTGATTGCTAGAAAAAACAGTATTTTTGCCATTTAATCCCACATAAGAAAAACTGTATAAGATGAAAAAAAAGAGATGAACATAGGCTATTGTTTTTCACATTTCTTTAGTTGTTGGCCATGGAAGTCTTGGCATTTCATTGTTGAGATGATTCTGTCTATTCATTGATTTACTTCCATTTGCTCAGAGGTTTGCAAAATGATAGACTCATAAGAGGTAAAGTTAGATGAGGTGGTGTGCAGTTTATTTATATACATATATTCTGTTCACTCTCTTAACAATCCAAAGTACCTATTACCTTAATAATTCATTGAGTGGGAATGATTTCAGGAAACGGATCAGGAATTGTTACTTGGAAGCTGATTTTTAAAAATTTACTACCATATAAAGGAAGTTTATATTTTTATCAGTAAACATCTGTATCACGTCAGAGGCAGGGGTCTGATTAATTTGGGGCATTTAGCAAATTCTGCAAATGTCATAAACTAAAATAAAGAAAATGAGAGTATGTGCTGAAGAGCAAATTTTGAATTAGTCTGAATTGCCCTGAAAAAACTGGAAGCATTATGTCACAATTAAACAATTTTTTTTACAAAAATGAGGTTCTTGGCATAAAAAATAATTATTTAGCTAGATACACAAAGATTTCATCTCTCTATTTTGTTTTCCCTCTTCAAATAACGTGAGAATAACAATATCACTTTAAACAAAAATACAGTAGAGAACTCATCTTGTTTGACTTGTTTTAATTGCCAAAATGATACCATGTAAATTAAGAGGCAGCAACAGTGTCCTCAGCACCCTATGATTAATACCAAAATCATAACACACGTGTGACATTATCATCTAAATGCCACCTTTACATATCCTCTCATTCAAGTTTGTAAATTGCTATCTTTCTTCCTGGTAGATGCCCAGGAGAAAGAATAATAATTGGGAGGTTCAAGAGAACCCAAGAGTCACATCAGAGAATTTAAAAGAAAAAGGGAGGAGGACCTACTGAGCAATCATGAAGCTGAATGGCTGTTCTGAAAGGGGAGGGTTAGAAAACCCAATTACAAGGAGAGGTGGGATGGAATGTCATGGAAGAAGAAATGGTCTAGAACTATGAATAGAAACATTCTACAGAGCAACCTCTATTTAAATTTATAACGATCTTAACAGAGATAGATAAAATCAAAACACCAAACCAGGGCACTGGCATTTAATGAGAGGCAATATGAACTTCTTCAGCAAGACGTTCTGTAGTCCAAGCATGGAGATACAAATGGATTCCTTGCATCCACAGCAGCCTACTTACATCTGGGATATTATAAAAGAATAGAATGGTTTTCCTACTTTGGATTCAAGTTTGCCACCAACAATTTTGGGTAGTATCCTGAACTTTGGGTTATATTCCGTAATAAGCTAAAACCCAATGCAGCTAGTAAACACTCAGTGGCATAGTTTACATATTTCACATAACGTCTGGGTATTAAATGCTAAGTATTTGTTCATCCCTTAGCAGTAATAATATCAGTAAAAAGTGCTACTTATCACTAACTGAATATTTTACTTGCATGTTTTTCAGATCCAACAAAACAATGATTGGTTTTGCTTTATTTTTTATTAAATATTGCACAAGGCTGGTTAAATGTGAGTGCTAAATATCAATAGGTCTTGGAATCTGAGATTGATACATTGAGAATTTTATTTATCTATTTATCTCTCTAGCTGTATGCCATTTCAATCACTGGAGTAATTCTAGGTGGCAAATGTAGGGCTTATAATACCATTGCCTACCATGTTAAAGAAGTTGCTAGTTCCTTGTTCTTTTGTTCCGGATCTCTTCATTGTTTTATTTTTCATGTAACCACTATATGACTGTTTTGTTTTTCAAGCTTAATGAGAGCAGAAACGTTTCTTTGAAAAGCAATGCTATCTGCTCCATTTATCACTCTCACTTCAGTTATTGTAATTACTATATTTCCATATCCATTTATTTGACAGCCATAGCTTTTTAATAAAGGTTTTTCACAATCTATCTTAAAACTGGTTAGAGAGAATGAGTTAGGGCTGGGTAATCATGATGTTTAAATCTGCTTCTTGCAGCCTTTGCATACCCAACCTCTGTAATAGTTCTGTTACTTGATCTTTCTTATACACTTCTTATTTTTATGTGGATAGAATTTAAGTGCAGAGGCCACTTAAGTGCAAAGCTACTCACTTTATGTTTCCAAGAAGCATGGACTGTGTATGTGTGTATTTTATTTTGAGGAGCACTCAAAACTCACCTTTCTTTGGAAAAGCAATGTATGATTAAGGCATTCCTCAAACATACAGAAACACCCATGGAATTTTTAACAGAATTTCAAGACTCACTTAAGAAGGGCTCAGGAGTTTTGTAAAAGTGGTATCAATGGCTAAGTGTCAACAAGATGTAAATTCTAATTTTAACGGAATAACAGAATTGGAAGGGACCATGGAGGTCTTCTTGTATAGCCCGCTGCTCAAGCAGGAGACTCTATACCATTCCAGACAAATGGCCATCCAGTCTCTTCTTAAAAGCCTCCAGTGATGGAGCACCCACAACTTCTAGAGGCAAGCCTTTCCACTAATTGTTTTCACTGTTAGTAAATTTTGCTCCTTAAATCTACTAAAATTTTCAAATTCAGTGGTGAGTATTTTTACTTCCTGTTCTATGAAACAACTTGGTTTATAACTAGAAATAGTTATAAATCTTGCCTTTTGGAAAAGATCTCATAGTTGACCATTGACATGCAGTTAAATTTCATTTAGTGATAAGTAGAGCACTTCTTCCAAAATGGAAAGAAGCTGTTGTAATAGTTTGTTACAAATATATTTCTTTTTCTTTTTCCCTTTGTCAGGAAAAAAAGAGTATCAGCACCTTGGCACTCAGAATTGATAACTTGATAATTGCATGAACATAATGCATAAAAGTGGATAGCTTTTGTTATTTCACCCTGTAATTTCCTAATGGAAGGAACTCTGAAGGATTTTTTTAAAAAATATATGTCATAATACATTGTTTTTATGTCGAGGGGATGTTTTGAAATTGAAGTTTCTTGTATTGGATTATTCAGAGATCTGTCTAAACAGTGGTCTGTTTCTCTCTCTGTATGTGTGTGTCTGTCTGTCAGTGCACAATTTAACTGCAGAGATAAAGATTCTATTTTGCTAATCCATTAGCTCTCTCTTCTCTTATTTAATGAAAAGGTTACAATATTTGTAATTATCTGATTACTTCTCTATGGCGAGATGGGTGGCAAATTTAATAAACAAATAAAAAATAAACAAATACATAAAGACTATAAATATATTTGAAACCTGAGAGGAAGATTAATTATTAATTTGGTTTCCATCCTGGAAGAGGCATTACCTATCAGACTGAATATAACCAAAAACCAACTGGTTCTGTATGCAAGAGTAAAATAAGGTTATGAAATGAGGTGCATAATAATTTAATTAACTTGTTTTGGTGGAGACAGTGGTATATAAACAGAGATCCAAATATTCTCAAGATTGACCTAGTAGCTGGCCAAAAAGGTTTATGGTAAGAACTCCAGTGATGTTCCACTTAATTGTGTTTGTCAATTGGTATGCTTCATTAAGTCCTGTTGAAGTTTTTGTGGATTACATCCATTAGATATGGGTAGGATTTACCTATTCTATTAATACTTTCTGTCCAACTCAAAAAGAAATTTCAAATACAGTTTGAGCCACGACGGACAATGTATAGCCTTTACAAGGTTGAGCCCTTTGAACTTCAATTTAGAGTTCTTTATAAACACAAGATAAAATTCAGTTCACTCCATAATGGATATACTCAGCTACACTCATAGAAAAGACACAGTAAATAAACCCATAGAAAGACAATAATGGTGGGAAAAAAGAAAGAAAGAGAAAAAGGTGACCAGCATCAAGGTAGATGTATTTAATTACAGTAATGATGGATGCACTGTTGGGAGATAAGAAGGATCATGTTGGGAGAGATTGTCTTGGTCCCTAGGAGTGAACAGCAAATATGAATAGATATGTATACATGTATGTACAGTATATGTATATGCATATATGTATGAGGGAGTGAGACAGCAGGCCTGATGTACTAGTTAAGGTATCAAGTTAGAAACTGGGAGACCATGAATTCTACTTCCATTGTAGGTACAAGGCTTTCTGGGTGACCTTGGGCCAGTCAGTCTCTCTCAGTTATAGGAAAGAGGCTACAGTAGCTTATTTCTAAAATCTTGCCAAGAAAACTGCATAGACTTGTCCAGACAGTTGCCAGGAATAAGCACTGACATGAATGAACATACATATCCCACCAACATGTATATACACTCCCCCAACCACAGCAGTGTGGTCTAATGCTTAAGTACTTGATTAAAAGTAAAGAGACCTCGCTTAGGCATGGAAACTAGCATAATTTTGGGGCAGACCCAATGTAATTATGTTTCTCTAGGCTTTACTTTCAGCTATGTAATTTTGATATGTGTGTGTTTGTAACATATGCACATATACATACATACACACATAATGCACACATATACATACATAAAGAAAACACAACAATAAACTTCTGTGAATGTTAATCTGGGTGTTTAAAAATTAATGTATTAAAATATGTCTGTGTTGAATAAAACAAAATATTTTTAATAGAAATCTGCGTAACAATGTAGGGAATTTCCAAATTAGAAGGAGCAGTTCCTGTTCATACAGAAGAGAATTTTTCTGAGGATGCTTGCTAAGATCTACAGAAGTGTCAGTAATATCAGAGAAATGGTTTTTTTTCCTTTGCAGCTATTGTATGCAGAAGATTGCAAAGTTCAAAATTTAATGAGTTACCTGATTGAAACTTGTAACATTGTGTTGAATCACAGCACTCTTATTTTATTTAATATCAGTTTAAGGTGATTTTGACACAGGGTGGCTTTTCTATCAAAAAGTACGTGGAGTTGCATGGAAACCAAAAGGAAACAGTGCTGTAGAAGTAAAAACCAACCTGACTGTAATGCATGATAACAGTTCCTTTAGAAAAGTCACAAAACTATTTCAAATGCATTTATCATGGAGAATAATATATAATGAAACAAATGATATGAAGATGAATATTGAAATGATGTTACATACCACACTGGAAACAAGATTCTGTTGGGTGATTTGAGTTTCTGATATATTCCTTAGATTCTTAGACTATGAATGAGCCCTTTTAATTAATTTACTTTGAAGGGACAATATACAATGTTGTCTGTGGAAATGTAATAAAATAAACAAATGCTTTGGATTGATTTGAAAGCTTTTACTGTTTCTTTAAAAGACAGTCATGTTTTCTGAACTGTAGAATGAACAGGAAAAATAAACCATAGTAGTTAAGGCTAGAAACCAGAGACTGTAAACACTACTTCTTTCATTAGGCATAGAAGCAGGCTGTGAGATGTTGGGCCAGTCACTTTCTTTCAGTGCAACCCACTTCATAGAATTGTTATTGTGGGATAAATGGGAGGAGGAATGAGTTTTATGTATGTTCTCCAGCTTGAGTTATTTATAAAAATAATAAAGGTGAGATAAAAATCAAATGAATAAATATTGTTGTTATATGTTTATAATCGCCAATGTCTGATAACAGATATGGCAGAAGAAGAAGAAGAAGAAGAAGAAGGAGGAGAAGAAGAAGAAGAAGAAGAAGAAGAAGAAGAAGAAGAAGAAGAAGAAGAAGAAGAAGAAGAAGAAGAAGAAGAAATGTTTATTTTTAAAGGGTTAGAATAGAATAGAATAGAATAGAATAGAACAGAATAGAATGGAATAGAATAGAATAGAATAGAATAGCATAAGAGTTGGAAACGACCTTGTAGGTCATCTAGTCCAACCCCCTGCCCGAGCAGGAGACTCTACAACATTTCTGACAGATGGCAGTCCAGTCTCTTGTTGAAAGCTTCCAGTGATGAAGTTCCCACAACTTCTGAAGGCAATCTGTTCCATTGACTGTTCTCACTGTCAGAAAATCTCTCCTTGTTTCTAGGTTGAATCTTTCCTTGATCAGTTTCCATTCATTATTCCTTGTCTGGCTTTCAGGTGCTTTGGAAAATAGGTTGGCCTCCTTCTCTCTGTGACAGCCCCTCAAATATTGGAACACTGCTATTATGTCTCCCCTGGTTCTTCTCTTCACTAGACTTAGCTATGCCCAGTTTCTGTAACCATTCTTCATATGTTTTAGCTTCCAGTCTGCTAATCGTCTTTGTTGCTCTTCTCTGCACTTTTTCTAGAGTCTCAATCTCTTTTTTATAGTGTGGTGACCAAAACTGGTTGCAGTATTCTAGGTCTGGTCTTACTAAGGCTTTATAGAGTGGTATTAGTACTTCATGTTAAAAATGATAAAATTAAGACTCATAAAATTAAAGCATGGATCCAGAAATGTGTCTTTGGGACAAAATACATGTGTCTCGGCAACATCTTTTGTATGTTTGCAGAGCTCCACTGAATTGTTCAGACTATAACCTTCAGCTTGACCATATTCCTTTTAAGTACTGGGTGACTTTTGGAGGCCAAATGAATGAGTTTTCACCCATGAAAACCTTGACTCTTTTAAACATGGATCCTTAGCCTGCCCATTTGCTTCAGCTGTTTATTTATCAATTGTTAACAAAAAGAAAGAGAAAGAAAGAAAGTAAGTAAGAATATACTAGTACAATGAGATATCGATAAATATTAATCCTGCAAGTTTCTGTAGGCTGAAAAGCATAGTACTGAGCACCTGGATTTCCATGGCAGTGCATCCTTCAAAAATCTGAGTGACACTCCTTGCCTCTGAGAGAAAAAGAAAACCTCTGCATGGAAATTTGATTTTTCAATTGTCTTTGTTTTATTAAAGTTTCCATTCTCTCAAATAAATTATATAGCTCATGCTAATTTTTGTAATACCAGGTATATATTCCATTTTATGAAATACCATTAAAAGGTGTTGTATAGTAATTAGATATTTGGTACAATATGTTAACTAAATATAAACTGAATATTAAACTATTCACTGCAACAATAGTGGTTAATCCTCCTGGATAATTTTTAATGATACACCTGTAGTAATGTGCAATGAGCATCTTATCAAATGCAAATTTATGGTATTTTGTATTTTTATATGTTTGGCTTTAATTTCTTAGTACTAATGGGATTCAAATGGTATTGAGTTCCATTAATATGTGCAATCCTCAAATAATTTATTTGGCTTTTTTCTTGTTATTTCATTGGCTTTCATTAGATTAAGAATCTTTCATGAGAATAAATTTACTAAAAGTGTTATGTGCTATAACAGATCATGGGTAGAGATTCTTTTCTGAAAGGTATTCTTATATATCCAGTAAATGTACAGTATATATAATGCACATAACAAGATGGAGAATTCTGTTCTGAATACTGAAACTATCATGACATTGTAGGAACTTAAAGTGCGTTGCTTAGCACTGATCTATTTATAGGTAATATGCCATTTTCTCCTTTGAGAAGATATTTTGAAATTTAGGTAATAAGGATAGTCAGAATATTTTCCTAAAAACTGAAGATTTATAATTATATAAATTATAAATTATATGAAGATTTTTTAAAAAAGAATATGATTTTTCACATAAAAGTCTTACCAACTTTCATTATATACTACTTATATTGACA